AGTAGAAGACCTCAACACTTCATTCTCAGCAATAGACAGATCATCTAAGCAGAAAAATCTACAAAGAAACAAGAGCTTTGAATGACACACTGGACCAGATGGACCTCATAGATATATACAGAACATTCCACCCTGAAACAACAGAATACTCATTCTTCTCAAACACACCTGGAACTTTCTCCAGAATAGACCACATACTGGGTCACAAATCAGGTCTCAACCAATACCAAAAGAATGAGATTATTCCCTGCATATTCTCAGAACACAATGCTTTGAAACTGGAACTTAATCACAAGAAAATTTTTGGAAGAAATTCAAACACTTGGAAGCTAAAAACCATCCTGCTCAAGAATGTTTGGGTCAGGGGTGCCTGGATGGCTCAGTCATTAAGCATCTGCCTTCTGCTCAGGTCATGATTCCAGGGTCCTGGAATCGAGCCCTGCATCGGGCTCCCTGCTCAGCGGGAAGCCTGCTTCTCCCTTTTCCACTCCCCCTGCTTGTGTTCCCTCTATCACTCTGTCTCTCTCTGTCAAATCAATAAATAAAATATTAAAAAAAAAAGAATGTTTGGGTCAACCAGGAAATCAAAGAACTTAAACAATTCATGGAAACCAATGAGAACAAAAACACATCAGTCCAGAACCCATGGGATACTGCAAAGGCGGTCCTAAGGGGGAAATACATAGCCATCCAAGCCTCACTCAAAAAAATAGAAAAATCCTGAATACACAAACTAACTTTACACCTTAAAGAACTGGAGAAAAAACAACAAATAAAGCCTAAACCAAGCAGGAGAAGAGAAATAATTAAGATTAGAGCAGATAACAATGAATTAGAAACCAGTAATGCAGTAGAGCAGATCAACAAAACAGGAAGTTGGTTCTTTAAAAGATTTAACAAGATCGATAAACCACTGGCCAGACTTATCCAAAAGAAAAGAGAAAAGACCAAAATTAATAAAATTATGAATGAAAGGGGAGAGATCACGACTAACACCAAGGAAATAGAAACAATTATCAGAAATTATTATAAACAACTATATGCTAATAAATTAAGCAACCTGGAAGAAATGGGTGCATTCCTAGAAACCTATAAACTACCAAGACTGAAACAGGAAGAAATTGATAACCTGAATAGATCAATAACCAGTAACGAGATTGAAGCAGTGATCAAAAACCTCCCAAAAAACAAGACTCCAGGACCTGATGGATTCCCTGGGGAATTCTACCAAACATTCAAAGAAGAAATAATACCTATTCTCCTGAAGCTGTTTCAAAAAAATAGAAACAGAAGGAAAGCTTCTAGACTCATTCTATGAGGCCAGCATTACCTTCATCCCCAAACCAGGCAAAGACCCCATCAAAAAGAATTTCAGACCAATATCCCTGATGAATATGGATGCCAAAATTCTTAACAAGATCCTAGCTAATAGGATCCAACAGTACATGTGATGCAAGGGTGGTTCAACATTCACAAATCAATCAATATGATAGAACACAGTAATAAGAAGAGAGAGAAGAACCATATGGTCCTCTCAATTGATGCAGAAAAAGCATTTGACAAAATACAGCATCCTTTCTTGATTAAAACTCTTCAGAGTATAGGGATAGAGGGAAAATTCCTCAATTTCATAAAATCTATCTATGAAAAACCCACAGCGAATAGCATTCTTAATGGGGAAAAGCTGGGAGCCTTTCCCTTAAGATCAGGAACATGTCAAGGATGCTCACTCTCACCACTACTGTTGAACATAGTACTAGAAATCCTAGCAACAACAATCAGACAACAAAAAGAAATAAAATGTATTCAAATTGGCAAAGAAGAAGTCAAACTCTCTCTCTTCACAGATGACATGATAATTTATGTGGAAAACCCAAAAGACTCCACCCCCAAATTACTAGAACTCATACAGCAATTCAGTAATGTGGCAGTAATGTGGCAATTCAGTTCTGTGTCATCCCTTATTAAAATAATTCTTATCGTCCTTATTCCTGCTGGTTATGTAGGCTACAATGAAGGGTACGTGCTTGAGAGCTCCCCTTTCAGGGCTTCCCAATTCCATTTGGAATTATTTCCACAATATAAATGGATATTTTAACTTAATGGGCTTCTAAACTTGTATCTTCCTATTCAGACCCCACTGTCCCAGATAGGAAAATCCAGTAATCTCAGCCATTTCCAGTGGATTCTTTTATAAATATTGTAAATTATGAAGGTCTAATACAAAATTTCTTTTTCTTTTCTTTTTTTACAAATTGAGAATTTCATCATTTAATCTCAAGAAAAACTTTGATTTTTCCCACTGGCACATCTGAACTTTTTTTTTTTTTTGCTGCTTTAGCGAAGTCGGCATTACCTTAGATTAATTTGGTATATGTTTTGTGATGAAATGCCTTTTCCCCGTTTTAGAAATCACTATCTTGAATTTCCCTCTAAATCTGGTCTTGCATAATCTTCCCTAATCAACAGACAACTACACCTTCCCTAATCCTAATCAATAGCTACACCTTCCATGCATTGGCTCAGGTCAATGATCAAGGAGTCATTTTTCATTCCTTTCCCTTACTACATTGCTCTACTCAATCCATCAGCAAATGTGGATGATTCTATCCCCAACATATCTTTCAAATTCCTACATTTATCTCTATTTCCACTTCTAACATCACCATGTTAGTCCACAGTCATGGACTATCCACAATCGCAACTCCTAGCCACAGTCACCTCTTGTCTACTCTTCCTCAATATCTCCCATCTAGTCTTCATGCTTTCATACTTGTCCTATTCCAGTCCATTCTTCTATAGCATCAAGAGTCATTGCCTTAAAATTCAAATTGCATTGGGGGTGCCGGGGTGGCTCAGTCAGCTAAGCATCTGCCTTCGGCTTAGGTCATGATCCCAAGGTCCTGGGATCAAGCCCCATGTTGGGCTCCCTGCTTGGTGGGGAGCCTGCTTCTCCCTCTCCCTCTGCCTGCCGCTCCCCCTGCTTGTGTGTGCTCTCTCTCTCTCCCTCTGTCAAATGAATAAGTAAAATCTTAAAAAAAAAAATTCAAATTGCATCAAGTGACTTACTGTTTAAAATTTTCAATGGCTTCTCAATGCGTGTAAAATACAGTGTAGACTCCTTGCCCCCAAGACTCCTTTCCCTTCTGACCCCATTTGCTGCAGTTCTCTCTTTAGCTTACTAGAATCAGCTACTCTTTGCTCAGCTCCTCAAACTTATCAAACTTTCCCTGGTCTTTGAAATTGTTCTTCCCTCACTCAGCCTTTTCCAAGGGTTCTCTGCACTATTCATGATTGTTATCATTTTATTTTTTACTTTTTCTTGAGGTCTGTGAGGACCATGAGTCAGAGTCCCTGACTGTCTTGCCCACTCTTTTACCCCCAGCTGCCTCTGCACTATTCCTGGCAGATAATTTTTTAAACAATACCTTTTGAACCCAGAAACTGTTGAAGCAGTGTAATGCAAAACCTAATTAGAAGTATTATATTGAGGAGGAAGGACATCTATTTCAATAAGACTGGAAAGAAGGAGGAAGAGCAGGTACTGGTCGGCAGGAGTTTATAGCTCTGGGGGAGGAAGTTACCTGAAGACTTGATTTCCTTTCTGAATGAGGAGGACAAGTCCCCTGCCTAGAATTAATGAGTGGGTGAAGGGGCATGGGGTTTGAAGGGAGCCACTGAAAAATTTTTTAAAAGATTTTATTTATTTATTTATTTATTTATTTATTTATTTATTTGAGAGAGAGAGAGAGAGAGTGCAAGTGGAGGGAGGGAGAGGGACAAACAGACTCTGCACAGAGCCCGAGGCGGTGCTCAATCTCACTACCCTGAGATCATGACCTGAGCCAAAATCAAGAGGCAGTTGCTTAACCAACTGAACCATCCACATACCCCAGGAGCCACTGAAATTTGAATAACTAATAAAAGGAGTAGGAGAATTACAAAAGAAACTCTAGAAGAAATGGCAGGTGGTTCAGGTGGTGTTGGGGACCATGACCTTGGCATGACCTCTCTTAGCAGAGTTGAGAGTTTTCTGCAGCACTGCTCAGCAGCATAGGCTTTGGGGAGAAATCAGTTTCGCTGAACCAATGTTTAAAGTTTGAAGGATAGGTGCAAAGAAAGTGAAAAGACATTTAAAAAATTGAGAACAGTGGTGAAAGTGATTGCACTGATTAACAGAGACCTTAGATTGAGTAGAGAAAGAGGTGAAGCCAAACGGCTGCTAATATTCTGACAAAATGGGAGGATTACAGGAATGCAAGTATCCATGTGTCTGAGGAGAGGGAGAGGCGGAGAGGAGACATGGGGCTGAGGGATCTCTTTAGAATAAGGTACTTATAGGAGGATTTCTTCCAAGGTCTTATTCTACCAGATGATGTTTTAACTTCTTCAATACTGTGGTATCTTGAAGGACAAACAAGCCTAGAATATTTTACGGAATGTGTGATAATGAAGTGATTCATTTGGCAGCAGCAAAACAAAGCCACCACGGGGTCTATTAACAATTCATGCATCTTAACAATTTCCAGAGGCAATTTGATAAGTGACTCAGGCTAAATTCAGATCACCAGCAGCTTATACTCAGAACATTTTCCCCCTTGGGCTGAGGGAGCATTCCAAGAATGTATTTAATGAGGTGCTATACTAATCAGCCATTCCCTGGGTATATGTCTCTATGAGTGCTGAAGCTAATTGCCAAATAAACGTGTTTTCTCAAATATTCCTTACCTCTGTACAGACCATTTTAAAAGGAATCACATCTTTAGTTGTTAACCTCAATCAACAAATCTTTATTGATGAAATAAAGTGACTTTCGGTGCGACTTAGTGATAACATAACAGGATGACTGGCAAAAGGACAAATGAGAACATAATTCTCAGTAGAATCTTAGCAAAAGGGTGAAAATTTGATGTCAGTAGTAAGAGTATCAAATATGTGTGCGAAATACTTTACAAATCTTGTCATTTATATTTAGTTTATTTGATTCTCACAACAATCCTTGGAGGTTTTATTAGCCCCTATTTTACAGGTGAGAAAACTGCTTTACAGATTTTCAATGATTTATCTAAGGTGACTGGCAAGTTATTTTCCCCCGATACACTTCACTTCCTCAATGGTCCAGTAGTACGTCAGGTGCACAGCTTAGCGCTCCACGTGTCCCGGGTAGGATCCCTTCTAGGCTGAGTTCAGTCAGCTGCTCCAGGACTCGGAGAGGCGTGCGGAAAGCCATTTCTACCATGGCTCCACTAGGTGGCAGTGAAGGCCACCCCACTCGAATGTGTCACTCAAGACATCTGGCTTTAAGTGGTCAAAGCCAGAAAGAGAAAAGTAAAACGATGCTCTTCTTCTAGACTCAGAAAAGACCGCATATGCATGTGTATGCATGCACGTGTGTGTGTGTGCACGCACATGTGTTTGCTAGGCAGAGGAACTGACAAGTGAATAGAAACTGTTGCTGCACTCTATGCAGTTTCTCATACTGCTAGTGGGTAGGACCAGAGTGAAAGAAAGACCTTGATATTCGGCACTTTGATACTATAATGTGTTCTCTTAGCCCATATCTGCAAGGATGGATCCTGGATATCCACTTAGGTATTACATGATGTCCAAGAGTGTCATTGTCATTCGGCATAAAAGTGAATGTTCTCTCAAGAGGAAGAATTCATGACTTTGGTGCATTGTCTGTGGCTATGCCTACGCTTTTGTCTTTCTCCCCCAGTGTATTACGATGTATTGTTGTGTTATAGCTGGCAGAAAGAAAAACCACTTGCAGTATCCTATGGGTAAAGGAACTCAATAGCAAAAGAAATTCAAGATACTTTTGATGCTTTCTTGGTTCGGTAATAATCAGCATTGCTAGAGGTTAGTTGCAAATTTTGGCCACTGGAGAAAGAATTGGAGCTCCCAATTACAGCAATTCCATCTTAGAAAATAGATGTGGCTGGAAATGAAGAGTTGGAAGCCATCCTTTCCACGGAATAATGTTTACTTGTCATCCTAAATCTTCCAGAAGTTAGGGGAAAAAAGTTTCATTTGTCTGTCTGTAGCAACTCTGGGGAAACCGCCACCCCATTTATAAAACCAGAGTTCCCATCAGTTTGAAGAGTGTTCTACTCGAGGAGACTCATCCACTGGGGGCACCTGCTTCTCTTCTGGCACTGGGGGTAGATCGGGTGCTTTCTGTCCACACCTTGCAACGGTGAAGCGACTCATGTGAAGAGCTTCTTCATACCCTGGGAGGGTGTCCAAAGAGGAGGGCAACTGGCCGAGGGGGCTGTGGGAGTGAGCCACAGCCAGAATTCTTCGAGCTGCAGGGCCAAATATTGACTGCAGGGCTAGGGAGGAAAGAAGGAATAGAATTAAAGTAAATGTGACATCTTCAGAAATCAGGGACTTACAACACACTTAATTTCCCTTCATTTTTAGCAAGTGTCTAAACCATTGTCACTCTCAGCCACAAAATGTTATGAAAATGCTGTGAACCTTGTTTGGAAACCAACTTCACTCTGCTGGAAGATCCTGTCTTCCCTGGGGTCCTCAACTAATCTAAATTGTGTCCCCATATCTGACAACCTTGTCCTTCCCTTTTACGGACTTGGGGCCCTTTACACCAACCCACTGGTAATGCAGACTTCTTAGAAATATTTACTTCTGTCTTATTTATCTTTTTTCAAAGGGCAGTAAGTGAAACAGGAAAGGTGAACAGCAACGTAGCCTCTCCTCAAAAGAAATTTCACAATGTTGTGCCACCTGCTGTTCTGACTAGTCTTTCTTCTCCCATTTCAGGAAAGAATATAATATGAAGAAGAGAAGAGAAGGACATAAAGGAAAGTGTTTTATAATCATCAAGGTGATGTTAGGCTAACATATAAGTGTATCAGTAGATACACTACAGAACAAAGAATTGCAAGTGCACATGACTAATTTCTTCAAAGATGTAAAATATTATATAGGTAATAAAAAATACAGGTTCTAACAAAACCCAAGACATTTTTGAAAAAGGGATACACTCAGAGCTTAAAATAGTTTTATCAAAATAACTTTATAAACTGGGTAATTCTTCCTATAAGACATTTCCAATATTTTCTCCAACATTCTACTTCTTTCTTCACTCTATCGTTAGACCAGTATTTGAGGACACAGAATCAGTGAGAGCCCACGTCACCACACCATCAGGTTTCTGGAAATTAAAACAAGCCTGAGTTCTAGAATCTTTAATACTATTCAATCCATGTTTCTATGTTGTTTCATCATCCTGATCATTCTTTTACTTGTCTTTTTTTTTTTTTTTTTTTTTAGTAGTTTCCTCAGCGTGGAGCCCAACGAGGGGCTTGAACTCACAACCCTGAGATCAAGGCCTGAGCTGAGATCAAGAGTCTGACACTTAATTGACTGAACCACCCAAGTGCCCCCAATCATCCTTTTTTCCCCTTAATTTTATTTATTTATTTGACAGAGAGAGACACAGCGAGAGAGGGAACACAAGCAGGGGGAGCGGGAGAGGGAGAAGCAGGCTTCCAGCGGAGCAGGGAGCCTGATGAGGGGCTGGATCCCAGGATTCCAGGGTCATGACCTGAGTGGAAGGCAGACAGTTAACTGATTGAGCCACCCAGGTGCCTCCCTGATCATCCTTTTAAACCCCCTTTCAGGTTATAATGTCAGAGTACTCACAAGTGATAGTGCTTTGGAGAGTGCTATCATGATCAAAAGCTATGACTGTCACTTCATAGGGAGGCCGGCCTTCATCTTCCCCATTTTGCTGGCGACTCAGACAGCAGCGGAAGCACGCAGACGTCAGACCGCATAGAAGAAGCAGTGCACCAATTACCACCAGTAACCTGCAAGAAGAGCACCCCCCAGTGAGAGCTCTGCCATCTGGTGTGTTTCCCAGCCCTGGCCATAACTGGTCTTCGGTGTCTACATTTTTACTTTGACTATTTTGCACAATAATCATGATTTTAATTTCAACACTTTCATTTCACATGCATACTTATTTTGTCGGCAAGACTGAATCAGTTCATTAAAACAATAAAAGATCTAATGTGGTTTGGAGGGTCTGCTTTCTACTTTATATTCTCCTCTCTGTAGAAATTTCTAGAGGTGACTCTGACAAAATACACAATAACCTCTTGATGGCTGAGGAGATGGTATTGAAATAGGAAATCCTGACATATTGTCACATAGTTAATGATGAGGTAAAGAAACTTTACTCCATGAGATGCTAGGTAAGTAGGCTGGCTGTCTCATACATTTTTTTCCTACTGTCAGTATATTTAAAAACTAAAAAAAATAAAAATGAATGCCCTTGAGAAAAATAAAGTTCCTTTGAAATGTCTTTCTGGGTATGATAGCTGAAACTTACCATATGTACCAGAGATGCACCCAATCTGTGGTCAGGCAACTATGGAGAAAGAATAAAGTTTTTTTGCAACAAAAACATAGTCGGCGCCTGTTGTAGTTCCAGAGTCAGGAATATGAGTTACAATATAATTTGCTACTTTGTTATAATAAAAGCATCACAACTTACATATATTTTTTTAAGTTTGCATTTTAATTCCAGTTAGTTAACATATAACAGGTTATTTTAACTTCAATATAGCCAGCAGAATCTCTTGCAAAATGGGATGCCTTAAAGTGTTTAGTACTACAGATGGCATTGGGTAAATAATTTTGTAAATCATTATAAGACAGACTAGTGATTATGAAAATGGTGTTAATAGAAAATATAACCATGACCACAGTAAACAGTTATGATGACAATTACCAAGAAAGAATTTGGAATGTAAGTTTACAAAGTTTGAAAATGGGCAGGAAAGTTAAGGTTTGTGTATATATATATATATATATATATATATGAGTTCAATAAAATTCAAACATAAAGAAAATATCAGTTATAAGCATGAAAGCAATACAATGAAGTTTGTAACTTATGTTTTGCAAATTGTTGCAAAAAGGGTCACCATTAAATCATAAAAATTCTCACAAGGAAAAAAAACCCCTGAACTTTCACATCCAATATCAGAACTAATATATACACCCACTGAAGCCAAACAGGAAGGAGGAAAAATGTAGAAACCAACTTCACCATGTTGAAAGTTAATTAAAGTAACTGAATTTTCTCTATAGAGATGACAAAAATATGGATTGCAAGGAAGGAGTGTGGGGTAAGCTCAGGAGTGGGAAGGGGAGAGGAAGGAGATATTTATGTTTGAAGATGAACAAATTTAATAATACTTTCTGATATATTGAGCTATTGAAACCTATTGAAATTTTCTTCTACATCCTCTCTTTGGTTGTACAGTTGTAGATATACAATTTGCTTTTTCAATAAACAATGTCTCCTGTAGGTTTCTCACATTCTCCATTTATTTAACGCCTCTTCTAGTTCTATAGTGTTAGTGATTCTGATTCTGTTAAAAGTGATTCTTCCTGAGTAGTAGGTGTCTAAAACCTCAGACAGTGTGACAAGCAACAAAGGCTGCCACCATTTGTCCTGGGTTTAACAGTCTTGGCTATTGAAAAACCCTTCCCATGGCTAAATATGTGTTTTCCTTCAGGCTAAGCAAGTGTTTTGTTCCAACTGGCCCTGCTTTCTTAATAATTTACCTCCAAGTGGAATGAATCTCTTCCCCTTTTATGTCCTCTGCGTCTGTGTAAGACCTAATTGTGATAGGTTTAGATTAAGGGATAACAACCTCAAAGTGATAGCTGAATGAAGTCTGCAGTAAGTATTGACATGCCTTAAAATACAGAAAATGCTCGTCATATTTCAGATGGTGATGCTACTTTGGAATTACCCAAACATATCTGCCTGGGATGAGATTTTAAATCTAGTCTGTCCTGATGAGTCACTGAGAAGCATGGAAAAGGAAGACTTTTGCAAATTTCTGTGACTATATAAATTGAGATTGATTCCGTTGTTTTAATGGGAAGATAGGTCTTGGAAAAAATGCTTTCAGGGATGTTATTTTAAGTACTTAGGATGACACGAGGGCATGTCTTTATTTTTGCATGACCCATCTGTGAGATTAGTGGGTTGATGTCCATTTAAGTAAAGATAAAGGGAAGTCACAGATATTTAATGACCTCTTGACCCTCTTTTGGGTACTGTTTTTGTTTCTTCTTCTTCCCCAGTTTGGTCTCAGATACTTACTGTTCAGGATTCACGCAATTCTCCTCACATCTTGCCAGGGGAAGCTGTAGGAAGGGAAATAGTCTCAGACAGGGAAATGTCTCATCTGCTCTGCTCAGCAGCCTACCAACCATTCCTCATGACTCTGCTCTGTTAGTTTACTTGGTGAGAGCCGGGACAATATGAGGACAAGGTCATAGGGTCAGCCATGTTTAGAACTGTTTGTTTTCATTGCTCCCATGCCTGTTGATTATATATTTGAAGTGGGAGACACTAGAAGAGCAAATATCTAATCTGTGGGGGGTTTTTTGTTTGTTTTGTTTTTCGGTTTTGTTTTGGTTTTTTGTTTGGGGTTTTTTTTTTTGTTTGGTGGTTGGTAAGCATTACAACTTTTGTGAGTGGGAGGCAGAAGCAGCATTTAAATCAATTTGTCCTAGAAATGTCCTGATCTGTCCCTCAGGATATTGTTATCACCATCTTAATTCTTTCCCAGCAACAAATTGAATTCTACCCCACTCCTTTTTTTTATTCCCTTAGCTCATCAATAACACACCGTACAAAAAAAGGAGAAAAGGAGGGGAACGATTTTATTTATTTAATAGCTACTATATGCCAGTCAGGTTGCTAAGAATTTTCAGTTTGTCATAACATTTCATCACAAAACTCATGCAGGTGGGTATATTTAGCCTTATTTTGAAACGTTACGTGACAGAGGCAAAGGGGTTTAAGTTAACATGGCCAACTGTATGCTCCTATTGATGTAGCCAGAATTCAAATCAAACTCTATCATAGATATGACTAAAGGTAAGAGAAGCTTAACGTGCTAAACAGATAAAATACTTCTTTTTGTGACTATTGCCAAAAAAGAAAAGAAAAAAGAAGGAAAAGTGAAGGGCAAGGAAAAGAACAGGAAGCAAAAGGAAAATACAAGAAGAAGAAATGGATTTACAGACAATAATTTAACTGGGATATAGAAAGCAAAACAAGCAGTCCATTCTCTACTAAGACATGTACAGGAAAATGATACTAGCCAGTTGCTTCTTTTTCCTCTTTTTTTTTTCTTTATTTTAAAGTAGACTCCACACCCAGCGTGGAACTCAACACGCTGGACTTGAACTCACAACACTGAGATCATGACCTGAGCTGAGAGCAAGAGTTGGACACTTAACTGACTGAGCCACCCAGGTGCCCCTGCTTTTCCTCTTTACTAGTGTTCATAGCTGTGTAAATTTCCCCTTGACAGTTGTCCAGAATCCTCAGTCTAATGACCCTTTTCTCAGCTAACAAGTTACTCAGGGGCTTCTGATTTTTGGTAGGGAGAAATAAAAGGTTGGAAGTATTTTTCAAGAACTTTCCCTCTTTTAACTTATTTCTGATCTGAAGGCATCTAAACTGCTAGAATTGTATCAGGACTGATGTGGAAACTCCGTTTAGGGAATTATGTAATTAATTTTGATAATTTATTTGGGATTTTGAGGGATGAGTGATAGGATGCTAAAAGAGAGAAATATAGATAAGTGGCACTTCTAAATTACCACAGCTATCCTTCATGTGTCTATGGTTACCCTAATTTCTGTCCCCCCATCTCACTGATGCCATCAGCCACACATGGGCCATGTAACCCTATAACACCAAGGAAACATTCTAGTTATTCTTTGCCCCACTACCTCTTTGGTTCAATACATGTCTTTCACCTCAATCACATCGCCCAAGGTTCTTCTGAGAGTTGGTTTATCTGAGAAACAACCAAACAAACAAAAGTTTTATTTTTGCATTTTCACAACTCACCTGGATGCAATATACCAGGGCAGAGACTGTCACGGCCTGGGTTTGCACCCCCATGGGGCTGAACTGCTTCTCCAGGATCAGGTACGGAGTGTCCGTGTCTGTTGCCTCCTTTCCATGCTCTGTGTTGGTCTGACTTCTTGACCTGGAGGACTTAAGGAGACAAATTTTTCTCAGCAATAAAACTTTCGCTCTCTCTTTCCTCTTACTCCTTTGGGCTTTTATTTTCTGTGGTCTTTCTCTCCCCTTTCATCCTGGCTTCTTTCTCTGTCTGTTCTGTTGTTACGGTCTCCACATTTGCTTCCTTTGGCCTTCTTTCCTTTCCTTCTACTAGCAATCCTTTCTATATGTCTTTAACTTTCTCCCTCTGCCCCCCAAAAGGAAAACATTCAGGGAGGACACATTCAGTCCTCAGATTTAGGTGTTTTTCTAGGCAGTGGTGAGAAACTTGACTTGAGGCGGCTCAACGGTGAATTGCTGGTGACCAAACAACTTCTCTCATCTCCATCAAAAAAGGAGTAATACTCTTGGTCCTTTACTGCAGCACTTCAGGGGGACCGTTGAATAACAGCCAATCACCATCCACTCCCCTCTCCACGTGATTAGCCCTCCTCCCTTGCTCTTTGAAACCCTCCCCTTTGCTATGTTGATAATCAACTCTCCTGGTTCTGGGTCATTTGTTCGTAACCATTGCAGTAGGACTGAGACGTTAACAAATGGACCGGAAAGCATTCCCATCTTTGAGGAAAGCAGGTCCCCTCTACCTTGACTTCAGTTCTTTTTGAAACACACAAGTCAGATAGGCACACATCACATTTTTTTAAACTGAGTTCCAAAAACTAAAGAATAAACTGGGTTCCAAGATCTATGAGTCTCTAGGTTTCTCTCTCTCTCTTTTAAATAAAATCTAAGGTCAGCATAAAAATAAGCACATGTGGAAAGAGAATATTTGAAAGAAACATCTCTACAGGAATGAGTGAATGTTGTATGAATGATTTATTCTTAAGTCAGTGATTTTTTACTTAATACAAAGTACTTCAAAATTTTTTTAAAATACAAAGTATTTCATAGGAAAATTAGACATCAGTTGATGCAGATTTATCTATCTCATATGAATTGAATAAAACAACTTTCAGATCATAACTAATGCTGAAAGTCTAATTTTACTTTTACTGAGTGATTGTTGAGGGCAACTGTTGAGTGGGATTGATTCAAAGAGTCCTTACACAGCTTTAAAATATGATATCAGCATGGAGAATATAATCTTTTTTTCCTCTTAACCAAGGGAATCAAATAGTGACAGAAAAGCCTAATATGATACTGGTGATTACACAGCATTAAGTTCCAAAACTAAATGAGTGCTACATTATTTTTTTAGAATGAAGGAAGATAGAGATAAGATGAAGAGTATTTTTCAAATTTCAGCAGAAAAATTGACAAGGTGGGAGGTATTTCATAGGACAAGGAGAGCAGAAAAATCCTGGCCCTCCACTAAATTATTTGTGGTTTCTCCGAGGCTGAATTTTCCCATTTATAAAACAGAGGAGGAATGCTCACTTGACCTGCCCTAGATGTTGTTTCATAGAAAAAATACCATTGGAGATACGAAGGCATTTTGATTAAAATATTTCTACTTAGAGTGGCCTGCATATGGTAGCATCACTAATCTTTCCCTGCCCTTTCTCTTGTCAGAGACACAGTAGAGCATCGTGGCTAAGAATCCAGCTAGCTTATCTGGGATTAAACACTTGCTTTGTCACTTATTTTTATTTATTTATTTATTTATTTTTGCCTTGTCACTTATTAGCTGTACAATCTTGGGAAAGTTATTATACCTCTGTTGGGTCAGTTTCATTCTCTCAGAATGGTAATAATAATAATGTTACTTCATAAACATAGAGATTAAGCAAGTTAATGTATGTGAAATGCATATAACTGTCCTGATGTAACAAGTATTTTATAAGCATTAACTAGGATTATCTTGATTTCCATTCAGTTTTGCCAATGACCTTCACCTTCAATATGCTGAATAACTGATGTCCTCTTGGTGTATTATTACCATGACCATGTTTTAGCTCTCCTGGTATTCCAATTCTTGAATATTTCCTCTTGCTGTTCTGGCCACCTCTTCTCCCAATCATACCAGCCAAACCTGCATGAACAGGTTTGTCAATTAACATGATTTTTCCCCATCACACTTTCCTGCATGTGATTGCCATCATCTTTTTGCCCTCCAGCTTTCTAACAGGTTTGAACAAAGTGGGATTCTGTTAATGACATCCTTGTTACTTTTCTTTCTTAGAATTACTACTGCCTTTTTTGTTTGTTTGTTTGTTTTTTTGTTCTCACTGGATTATTCCTTGAAGAAATAGAACTTCTTGTTTATCCTAATGAAAGTGATTATGCCTTGTGGCAATTTTAGTGCTGAGTTCAGTCCCTGTCAAAGCCTCCATATCAGGAACGATGACAGAGGAAAGAAGACCCCTGCAGGAAGATCGAAGAGGGTACACACTGGAAGGGCAGGTAGCTGAGGTAGAGGGGAATGACCTCATTTCAATCCTACACAATCTTGTTGTACTTCCATTAAGTTTGTGAATCATTAGCTTATACCCAGGTTGTTAAGGACTTGGAGTGGAACCAATGGAGGGTGCATGTACATAGGCCTTTTCACCTATGCCTCGGGAAATTGTTATACAAAACCTGTAACAAGTGAAGCTAAAAAAATTACTTATTTCTGGCCCCTTTGATTATTCTCCTTTTGACCTTGTCTACATCAGGTGACCAACCAAGAATTCCCTTCCTTTCTGTGCCTCAGTGAAACAGATGCCAGGACAACCCTTACTGTGAGTCATCAAGCATGAGTTATAAAGTGTTGAGCAATGAGTTAGGCCATACCCATGGCTTCAAAAATAGATAATAAAGCAGAAGAGATTAGTTCCATCTTGCAACTTCTCCACTAGGAAGTCCCTTTGTCTTATGAATCAAGATTACAGTGTAAGCAATGAGTGACAACCTCAGAGGTATTGACAGTCAGGATTAGATTTAAGGAAATTTAACAAAACAGAAGGATTAAGTTTATCACAGGATTATTAGTTTTATATGCCATCTAACACATTACCACAAATTATATGCGTAACAATGTAAAACAACACACATTTTTTTTTTATCTCACAGTGTCTGTGGATCAGAAGTATAAAAACAGTTTTGTTAGGTCCTCTGTTTAGGGTCTCACGGGCTGCAGTCAAGATAGCTGTTGGGCTGTGCTCTCATCAGAAGGCTCGACTGGGGAAGGATATACTTCCAAGCTATGTCAGGCAGGAATTCGTTTCTTTGTGGCTATAGGATTTGTGCATGCTTGTTTCTTTAAATCTGGCCAGAGAGGCAGAAAGGAGGGAGAGAACCTTTAGCAAGATAGGCACTATACCTTACATAATCACAAAAAAGGATCATATATGTTCCATCACCTTTGCCACATTCCAAGCCACAGACACCAACCCACCAAGCAGAGAAGATTACACAAGGGCATGAACATCAGGAGGCAGGGATAATGAGAACCACTTAGTCTGTGAAACTTGTCCAGCTAGATAGCTGGACTATCAGGATTATAGAAATTATCCCATGGATCTTTAAAACAGAAGAAATACAAATGTCCGTCGATGGATGAATGGATAAACAAAATGTGGTATATACACACAATGGAATATTATTTAGCCTTAAAAATAAAGAGAATTCCGATACATGCTACAGCATGGATAAACCTTGAAAACACTATGTTAAGTGAAATAAGCCAGATACAAAAGGACAAGTATTGTATGTTTCCACTTATATGAGATACCTAGAGTAGTCAAATTCATAGAAACATAAAATAGAATGGTGGTTTCCAGGAACTGGGAGAAAGAAAGAATGGAGAGCTGTAATAGTCAGCGTCCTCCAGAAAAACAGAACCAATAGGATGTGTATATTTATAGAGAAAGATTTATTATAAGGAACTGACTCATGCAATTATAGACTGGCAAGTCCAAATCTGTAATGTGGACCAGCTGGCTCGAGTCCCAAGAGAACCAATGATGAAGTTCCAGCCCACAGGCTGTCTGCTGGAGAATATTTTCTTATTTGAAGCAAGATTAGTGTCTTTGTTCTAGGCCTTCAACTGATTAAATGAGGCCCACTCTCATTATGGATGGAAAACGTTACCCTACTGATTAAAATGTTAATATCATCCAAAAACATTCTCAGAGAAACTCAGAAAAATATTTGACCAAATATCTGGGCACCCCATGGCCCAGACAAGTTGACACATAAAACTAAGCATCACAGGAATTATAGTTTAATGAGTACAGAGTTTTTAATTGGATAAGAATATCTGACATCAGGTAGAAAAGAGATGTTCAGTAAATCACTCATATTTTTTGGGCTTTAGCTCCACATCTCAAAATAAAGAACTAAGACATATTTTCCTTAAATTTCTTTGTATTTTAAAACCCAGCTTATTCTGGTGATGTCTTAATAGCTAAGAATCTCAAGTGTTAACTGTTTACTATTTACAAGATATTAAAGAATATTACAATTGATATGGTATGCCAGGGTGATAGGAAAGAATTAGTTTTTATTAACAGAAGGGGATCTATCTTTACTTCTAAAGAGCTTGTAATTTGGTTGGAGAGATGGAATAATTTTAATGGAATTGAAAATCAATAGAGTGCACTATTAGAGTGTATAAAATGAGGGAGTGAAAAGTGTTGGCAATCCTACCTGTAGATGTTGAGTACAGAGGATTTTTTAAAGAAAAAAACAGAATTGTATTTGTAGGGAGTACAGGATTTGTAGAGCTCATCACCAGGTCCTGGACTGTTTACTGAGTTTCTTATGAGTGTGGACCCAAAAGAACAATGGATGATTATGCTCTCCTGGGTTTCATGGGTGGGGTATGAAGGTGAATAACTGAAGTCTGAGAGATCTAGCTCAATCTTAGGCCTTCTTTAAAGAATGTAGTTCTTTCTAGTGCTGTGTGTATCCTTGGGCGTTTTAGCTATAGAGTCACATGCGTCCTTCCAAGACAATCCTTCGTAGGACAATCCATAAAAGGTTACTAGTAAGTGATGAGCTCACAAGAAAAAAATGTTTCATGTCAACAAGTGTGCTTCTGTATCACTTCTGTATCACTAGAATATTGATGGCATACAAAATAATTGAGTCACTGTGGAGAATGATAAAATGTCCTCTTCATTGTGACATGATTTCAGTATTTATTAATTCATCATTAAAAACACTTTCCTGGGATGCCTGGGTGGCTCAGTTGGTTAAGCATCTGCCTTCAGCTCAGGTCATGATCCCAGGGTCCTGAGATTGAGTCCCACGTTGGGCTCCTTGCTCAGCCGAGAGCCTGTTTCTCCCTCTGCCTGTCTCTCCCCGTGCTTGTGCTCACTCTTCTCTCTCTCCCTCTCTGACAAATAAATAAATAAAATCCTTAAAAATAAATAAATAAAAATAAAAACACTTTCCTGAGATTCTATTTATGTGAAAGTCAGCATGGTGGATGCAGGAAGCAATCTTGCTTCCTGGCACTCACAGTCAGGGGAAGTGGGGTGGGGCTTCAGTGATAAAGGTAAGTAGCATTGATTTGTTACAAGCTGGTTTGACTAGGATATATTACAGGCTGAGCTTTTTTTGTGAACTGTATCATAGAGTAAAACTACATTTAATTTTTTAAAATCTTTCTTTCTTTCTTTCTTTCTTTCTTTCTTTCTTTCTTTCTTTCT